CATAACAATGACAATACAGAAGATATGTATGAAGATATAAATTAGGATATACGTACAGATAAGCATGAAAGAATGTTCGTGAAGGAAGAAATGTATAAACAGGTGATGAGATGCAGGCATATACATGCATAGATGTGGCAGTAAAGGTACACAGTGATATACACATTGGCATATGAGAAGTAAATTCGTTCAGAAGACATTCTTTTCTATTGAGCGCGTTGATCATTTTGAGTTTTGTTGTCTTCTCACATATGTCTACTCTCGTTCTTCTTCGTTGATATGGCATTCTTATACTGATTCTACATTTTAGTTCCATCAAGAGCTACGTCGACAACCTATTCCTCGAATATATTATTGCTTATCTTTTTATTTTTTTACGCTTTCAGAAATATTTCGACCGGTGATAAACTGTTGTTGGCGTTGAGACTCGAATATGACTACGCCATATACAATTCAGAGTGAATCACAAAGAATTCTTCTAAGCGTCCTTCTTCCGGACAAGAAATTGCAACATCCCGAAGGCATCGCGGAAGCAGCTAAGAATGTAACTTTCAGTAGTCCAGCTGGTTTGTCCGAACCATTCATGCCTACTCCTTGCAAATTAACTGAATCTTCAGCCGCTTTATACGGTCTTTTGGCATGTTATACTTCATTAGTGTGTTCCGAACGATATGGTTTGCCGCTTCAAAAGTGCACCATCGATACCGATCGAGCTACTCTTGCTTCTACAAGCGTATTGCTTATAAAAGTTTCAGGAAAGGCTATTACCGAAGCTCCAAATGACATTTCTAACAAAATTAAAGAACTCGATTTGGGAAGAATGTATATTCCTTATAGACACCTTGCTACAAACATCTACAGAACAAAGGACAACCGATACTTTCATCTTCATGGATCCTTGAATGCTGATAAAACATTGGCTATGTTAGGTACTATGAAAGAAAATAGATTCTGATTTGTAACTATATCGATCGACTTTTTAGGATTGCCTCCAGATCATCCTCAACTTAACACAGCGGATCGTGAAGAAATCGTGAAATTCTTTGCCAATGAAGTAGCTAAATACGATGCAAATTGGCTGGACACCACAGCAAATGAAGTATACCGACAAGCAGGCACCATTTGCTACACACCAGAGGAGTTTGCTCAGACAGAACAAGGCAAAGCAATCAAGCTTCAAGGTCTTTGGATAACAGAAGCTGTGAACACTGAAAAACTCCCGGTTGTTCCTTGGCCAGCATTGAAGGATCAAAATTTACGACCACTTGCAGGCGTCAAAATAGTAGACATTTCTAGGGTGATCGCAGCACCTACAATAACCAGAATATTGGCTTCACTAGGCGCCACTGTGATTCGTGTTTCAAACAGTATTGAGCCAGACTATGGTATAATTTTACTTGAGACAAACTTGGGAAAATACGATATGCGGATCAATTTGAAAACACCAGAAGGAAAAAAAGAGTTGGCTCATATATTGGCTGAAGCAGATGTCATTTTGGATGGCTATCGACCTGGCTGCATGGAAAGACTTGGATTTGGCCGACAAGCAGTTCACGAAATGGCTCTAAACAGAGGTGAGATACGTATATGTCATATTAGGTTTTCTGTATTGTGTATAGAGAAACTGTCCCACATCGACATGAGAAAAATATCAGGGTTTGTAGAACTGTGAATACTTATTATTTTTATAAAACAACAAGATTTAACTTTGATATACTACATAAGTGATATATCTGGGTATACCAAAAGAGTTATGTAATGTTTTCTGCGTCTCAATGTTCGCCGTGAGCTTCAAACTGTTGTTCCTGAACAACACTTAAAGTTGAATATGTCTAATCGGCTTGAAATTATTCTTACTAGGTTTCATACAGTTGAAAAAAGAATAGTGAACTTTTTTATGCATTGTTCTTCCCAAGATAATAGTAGACTATTTTCGAGGAACAATTGAATGAAAAGAAATTCAGCAGAAATTTTGTGATGAACCCTATCCAAAATGCAATCGGAAGCTCTTCTGTATTTTATCAAGGTGTGCTTCGAAGTTTATGAGTTATATTACATAGAACCCGATCTGGTATAATGAATGAGCTTCTGAGAAATTAATCTTTTAGTTTCTGCTCATAAAAATAGAAAAATAATACCTAAAACTTAGCATCGATGAACAGACATTAATAACGTTTACAAATAGTTTCCATAATTGTACAAAACTATTTTCGCAACCTGAAAAGCTTTTGTAAAACTATGCTATGCTACTATCTCTCTCTTAGCGTTGTGCTTAAGTCAATAGAGCTACTTTTGCTGAAAAAAAGGTCTTCATCTCGTAACGTAAAGAATTATATTGAATTTAAAAAAAAAACAATCAAGCAAAAAATCTCAGCTATTAAAAAAATACTCAATCGCAATAATGTACGTATTCACGAACATTCTCAGCAAGTTAAAAAAAAACTTTTAATTTGACACCTTTCTGCAATGCTATAGAACTCTCTGTCGCAAAACAGTCCTCTTATTCCTTGGTAAAGATCAGGAAAGAAAAGAAGAAAAAGTCATTTCTATGAATTTTTCACCACCCGTCAATGTTACAATTGAATATTTCATATGCGAACTTTGGTTTTGATCGTCGATGTTTAAAGCTTCGCAGCTTCTGAAAGTTTAGATGCGATCTCACATAATTTTTCTTCAGATGGATGTAGAGATCCAGTGGAATATTTTAGGTAAAGGCATCGTTTATGCTCGTGAGAATTGTTACGGTTGGGCTGGTCCATGGTCTCCACGATCTGGCTGGCAACAGATCAGTGATTGCGTGACAGGTGTTTCATGGTTACAAGGAAAGTTTTTAGGCCTCGATGAGCCAGTCGTGCCACTTCTTCCAAATTCTGATTATCAAACTGGAGTAATTGGTGCGATTGCTATTGTACAAGCCCTACATAAACGTGCTCATCAAGGAGGCTCGTACAACGTTGACGTTTCACTCAATCAGTTCAATATTTGGTATCTTGACTTAGGTCAATACACAGATACACAAAGAGCTGATATCATGGTCAAATATCCAGACTTACATCTTCATCATACAGATGAAATGCACTTTCTTGTGAAAAAAACAATTACAGTGATGCTTAAATCTGTGGGCAAGATCTTTGGATCCCAAAACTTTGAGACCATAAATTCACCTAAATGGGATGTTGAACATACTGGCGAACCAATTACTATGACTATTCTTGCTCCAATCATAACTTTTGACGAGACAAAGCTCAACTACAATGTCGGAAGTTGTCCTCCTGGATCATATGACTCAAGCATCGGATGGAACGTGGTATAAATAACATATATATTCAATCTTGTGAAACAGAACTACAATACCAAGGACAATAAATAAACAATAGAGACTTAAGCTAGCAGTGGTTGATTGAAAATTTTTGAGGTTATGTGTTTTTATTTTTAAGGAATCCTTTCAGTTGAACTTATTTTAACTTAATGGGTACAATAAAACCTAAATTTCAAAGTGAAAACTTACAGAGTTAGTAAAAATGCGGTGCTATTGTATGCGAGAATTGATATCGAAGAAGAAATAATTTGTACTATTGAAGCTATTGAGGATTAAACTCAATACACATCTTACTAGATAAAAGTTTATTTATCTAATTCAGCTTTGACTGAAACTGAACATAGTTTATGATCACAGTGAATAGCTGAATAAACGGGAAATAGTGTGCTGAGAAAGATATAAAACATAGGAAAGAATGTATCTATTTGTTGAAATATGCCATTGCTCTCGAATTGCATGGTGAATCTTCTGAGAACAAAATTCAACGCTGAGCAATCAAAGCACGAAGGACAATCCGTTCACGAAGCAACCCTAATTAAAAATTACAACCAAAATATTTGTTCATCGAATTTATGCTTGTCTCTTCAACGATTTACTACTCTCCACTCATGGAACAACTTTTCCGGAATCTTAACCCTTTCATGACGAATTTTGTTTCAGTGAAAAAATTGTTCGCATCTGTTATCAATTAGTCCTTATAATAGTCCATTGATGCTGCCGACTAGATTTCTTCATTACTTCCTAGGTGGACGGGATCTCATGGGATTAGGTTGAGTCTGGATAAATCTGATAGGAAGCGACAAGATTTCATTGTACTCCGATGTCTTTTGACAAAATCCGACAAAATCCTGACGGATTTTCCCCAAAATTTTGGAATCGCATCGCTCGTCTTGGCTTTGAACAACTTATACCCAATCCATGAACCAACGAGCTGATAAATATAGAGCATTTCTTCGGCTTTCGACACATGGATTTAGGTGTTCAGTCATGTTGTTTGCAACCCCACCAATGAGTTGACTCAATTCAACTGATGGATTACTCATTTACGATCTGAAAAAAGTTTTTTAATTCATAATCAAAAAAAATGTGACATAATTAGCATATTATATGCAAGAGATAGATAGAAGATATCTATTCTTCAAACAAATCGTAGTACAAAAACAGATATCTAAAACAGAACATAAAATACTTACGACTACTAAATTGATATTTAAAACATGTAGACGTTCATTTACGTTTGCCCAGACATCAAAAAAGCTTCAAAATTGTCTTAATTGCCATGAGAAATGTTTTGTAGCAGACATGATCGAAGATACGTAACTGACGAACATAGAGTTCGCCATTTTCTATGCAAAGTCTAGTAGCAGCGATTTCAAGATATTTTGCATGCAAGCCGAATTAACCGTTAAAAACCAATCCACATTGTAAGATATCGTCATGAATCACTAATGATGTTGTGATCAACGTTCAGTAAAAATCCGATAATTTTAGCATGAAACAAATAGATTTGTTATTTTTACAACAATTTCTATTGGCAACCCAAATCTCAGGTCATTCTATTGAGTTTCAACAAAAACAAGAAAATTTTATAAGTCCCTATCATTAAACCTCACCAATTGATACTCTAATTTCAGGATGGAATGTGAATGGCATGTGTAGCGGATATAAAAGTTTCACAGAGTTGCAGACTTTGTCGATACCTATAAAATGCACTAACTAATGTTTACTTTTTAATTGAACTTAAGTGCCAGAATGAGTAATCGCATGCTGAAAACTCCTCGGCCTTATTGGTACTCGAAGATGAAGTCCTTCTATCTCGATGCTTGCCCATCTAATTGATAAGAAAATTGTACCATAGACGCAGTTTTAGATATAGTTTCTATTGAAACTATCAAAATTTTACGACTATGTACTTCAGTATTATAAGATCTTTGGAGATTCTTCAAAGAATCATTGGTACTAACAAGGATGTTCTTTTTATACTTCTTTTTGGAACATATATCCCTTGTGAAAGTATCATCTCTGTAATTCTTCAATTCTCGAGATTTAATTTTTCAGGAATTAATTAGAGCGATGGTGGTAATGCTAGCTAATAAGCATAAAATTGTAGCATTCATTCTTACCAAAATCAGTTGCATTTGCTTTAAATTAAATTTTTTTTTGAATGGAACTTTCAAGAAAAGCATATCTTATTATATAAGTGTTTTTTGCGATAATAAAACACAGTATTAAAATTATCATCAATAAAAGTTATGTAGAGAACCCTTAAATAACAGATATCTCTCAAAAGAAAATACTTTTATTTTCACTAGGAAAAAGTGAAATTTCTATGAAAATATTTCTTCGCTACAAGTTTCATCAAAGACGAACGTGTACAGGTATAAAAGATACTAATATGAGTAGAGCACAAGTACCAAAACAAATACGTGTAGGGTTCTCCGAAAGTTGCATCGTGAGGCAACACAGCGACTGTTGCTGGTGTTTGACATGTTGAACGTTTTTCTATTGTGTTCTATTTAAAATATATAATAATTTTAGTGTTATTTTTTTGTTTTTTTTTCTAAAGCATAATAGAGAGAATGACACATTTACATTTCAGACCATCGGCACGAGCCTAGTACGACTAAGAATATTATGGCTACAGGTAAAACATGGGTAAGAAGAATAAGAATACGGATCGAGTGAGGACGTAAGTGATACGAGTGAAAATTGTTTTGTAACGTTTGAGTACCAGTATCAAAGTTTATAACTGTGCAGTACTCTAACGGAATGTGCAATTTGTATCTTGTTGCAGTATTTTTTCTCTTCAATAGTATCATTTTTTCTGACGCTTTTTACTCACGGCTCAAAAAAAAAAAAAAGATGGCGTATGATAAGACAATAGCAGTAACAATTACAAGATCAGTGAAATTTTTCGTTTCCGCATTAAATCTTATATCTCGTTGAAACTAATCGTTGTTGTTAATTATCTTCCTTCAAATGTTATAAAGACGATATGATTACATCATCAAAAGACTTTTTGTTTGTTAAAAACTTGTCTTCGTATACTTGATCATCCGACGTTTTTATAAAAGGAGAAAAAAAAGTTGGTAAACGGAGAAGGATCGAATAACCTTCTTCTTTTTTTTTTTATTTAACAAAGGTCACTTGGTCGCTCATATCCTCACTCTCTTATGAAAGAAGCAGTATTGAACATTTATTTATCATAATCACGTCTTTCGATATTCGATCCACTTATTATAAAAAGTAAAAGAAGTAATTTGAGATAAGAGAATAATAGAGAAAAAACGAAGAGAAAGAGAAAAAAATCGTTCATTTTGATCATTTCATTTTACTCGATAACAAATATGAATACTCATCGTTTCTTCTTTAGTCTAATTCTTATTTTCATAACTTTATATCTTACATCATCATCTGACTGTGATGCACATTCTAATCAAGATGATACTCCATTTAATATTAAAGTTCAGCAATCACCTTTGATTCTTATTGGAACTTCATTAAATAAAAATATTGATACTAATATTCCAAATTTATTTAATGTTACATTTCTTGTTCAATGTATTTTAAAAGGTCGACCAACTCAACGTATAATTCGTGTTGTTCAAGCAGGTTTATAAAAAGAAAAAAAAAACAAGTGTTGCTTTCATTTTTCTTTATGCTAAATCATTTTTTAGGTTCACTTCTTGGTCGTCGTTCGTGTCAAAGATTTGATGTCGATCGAGAATATATTGCTTTTCTTGAACCATTTTTTGATGGAACTTATCGACCAGTTGATTTAGATGAAATTCCATATAATAATCAAATAAATTTATTACTTGAAAAAACATGTGGTCTTTCACGAACATATCCATTCACGGAAGTGAATGATACTGAAGCAGGATTGACTAATAAATGTCCATCAGTTGTTTCAACTGATTGTCCATTAGGTGTGTTGATCGCTTGCTTTTATTAAACAATTAATTTTTATATTTATAGAAACATCGAGAATTACCGTTACAACAACAACAATAAGTACAGTTTTATCAACGACAACAACAACGAACTCTATAATGTTTGAGAAAAGTACAATTGATTTAGCAATATTGTCACTTCTTCTAGCTGAACATCAACGTCAAAACTTGAATTTAACCTTTTTACAAGGTCAAAATCATAAGTCGCTTTTTTCAGATGATGAAGCACGAAAAAATCAAGCTAATCAATGTTCATTTATGATTATTATTAGTTTAACTCAAATTATTTTTTGTAGTATTCTTCGTCTTTTTTTGTAGAATAAGAGTTTCTCATTGCCATTTATTTGATATAATAAATTTTTTCATGTCTTCAGTCGAGCAAACAAAAAAAAAGAAATCAATGCTAATATCATTGCATAGTATTCAAAAGAAAGATTGATCATCTTTGTTGAATAGCTTTGTCGGATGGAACTTAATGAATAATAAAGCTTTCAAAAAGGTGATTGTCAAGTTTTTTTATTTGTTTATCACACAGCTTATAGAACACTGATGAAAAAAAGGATCAACATAAAAATAAAAACAGAAAAAGTATTCTTCTTACTTCTGATACAACAGCGAGGAAGAAAGTTTTTCTTTTTTATTTATTTCCAACTTAAAAAATAAATATTCTATAGATGAATCTCAAAGAGAATTACCATGAGTAGAAGCAAAGGCACTGTCAACAGGCAACTATTTCAAATTTTAAAAAGTCTTTTACTGTAATCTCCTGTTTTTTGAAGAACTATTACGCTTGCTATTCTTGATTTAGACACTGGTAATAAGATCGAAAAAAAATTTTATTTTCTTAGGAATAAAATATAACTGACTTGCTCAGAAACATCTTTTGATGTAATAAAATTTTAGTGTGAATCGACACCGTTGTTTCCTCTATTGATTTTGTTCAATATCAAGTAACGTATAAAATTGAAAGAATTCAATTATATAATTAGAATGATCCAAAAGCTCTTCATGAACCTTGGCGTTATTATTGTTGTGATAGCTCTTATGATTCAATTTATGTTAAAAACAAACTAACTCTTATGCCTAAAATATGTTCTTACATTTTCAAGTTTAACTAGTATACAAGATAAAACAGAAGCAGTTAATACAAATGTAATAGTTGAAATTGAAGAAGTGAATAGCTTGCTAATGATAATCAAACTTTATGTCAAATGGGAAAAATTATAAGATTATTTTTTTTTATTAGGAAATATATACAGCGAAATTGATGCGTCTTAGTGGAAAAATTCACTAATGAATCCATCTAGTCAAAATAATTTCGATTGACTTACGTACAAGATTCATGAAAATTTCAAGAAAAAAACTATATGTTAATAACGAAAAATTGAATTAAACCTACAAGAATAAGTAAAATTAAAAAGGTATTTATCGTCTTCTTTTTAGACGAGCACAGTAAAAAAAATAAAATAAAGAAAATGATTTTGTTCTTATTGGTTTTTACTGCTTATATTCACTGTCAATAAATCAAACAGTTTAAAATTAATTTTTCTATATAATCATTGAAGGATATTTCATTATTGCTTCAATGAAATAATCCTTACAAGTTCTTTAAATAGATAAGTATGAAAGGAACCATTTAGTAAACTTGTACAAAACGTATGCTGTTGAAATATTTCATTAGATGAATGTTCTAATCTGTTTTGTAAAATCAAAAAACTTGTATTCGATCTCTCGAGAAATGAATAATTGAAGAAAATTAGAAGAAAACAACAAATCTATTTCATTATTCCGAGGAAAATTACAAAGTGTATTTAAAACCATTGTTAAAACAGGAATTATTATACTGATCAGATGTATTACAAAGAAACAAAGAAATAACACAAGTATATATTCTATCATGGTCGTCGACGTTGTTCATGAAAAAGAAATACATATCGGACGTGCATTTTTTCTTATTTCATTCTTAATAGATATATAAAGACAAACAAAGTTCACATCGATTATTTCATTCACATCATTTCTTATTCGTCTGGTTAACAATGATCACCATTAGTACGATATTTCTTCTTATCGGATTATCTATTTGTAATGGAAAATCACCATTAAAACAAAAATGTGCAGAAGATCCATTTGATTTTGCAACAAAAGTGGAAAATTCATCGATTGTTGTTTATGGAAAAGCAATTGAAAAAAAATTGGAAAAAGAAAATGGATCAACGGTTCATCTTTTATTTCAAGTTGATTGTATTTTGAAAGGACCAGCTATACCAAGACATATTAATATTACAGGAGTTGGTAAGATTAAATTATGAAATTTTTTTTAAAATTATTTTCTTTCCTAGGTCTACCCGAAGATAAAACATATTGTCAACCACCTTTTGATTGGGGTCAAAGAATTGCTTTTCTTGAATATGATCCATTAAATGATTCAAAAACATTTATCCCATCTGATTTTGTTGATATACTTTTTGAAGATGATTCAACAAATAAAATATTAGTTAATACATGTAATCTTCAACAATTGGTACCACTTGATTCATCATTATCAATTACTGATGTATGTCCTTTTGTTTCAACTGGTCCTCAATGTATTCAAACAACAAACGAAACTTATATGGATTTAACTAGTATTGGTTCAGATTTATTACCAACAATTATTCCAGATGGATCACAACATGAAATTGATACTATTCAAAGTAAATCTGCTACTATTCAAGTTGATGTTGATAAACATAATGGAGTTAATTCAATACATATTAGTATATTTCTTATCGTAATGGCTATTCTTTTTTTGTGTTATTGAATTAAAATAACTAAAATATCTTTTTTTTTTCTTGTATTGTTCAAAATATTTGTTCTACTTGTGTTGATATTTCTCGAAAATATAGATGAATAATTGAATTAAAAATGAATTAAATTTTTATTTTAAATCTATACTGGCGGTTTTCATTTGATGAGGATTTCATTTATTTTTAAACATATTTACTAATAATATTTTTGTCAATATAATAATCGAGATGTTTGCTTATATAAAAATAGTTTCCTAATAGCTAACTAAATTGAGTATCAACTATCATATGTTGAAGAGTGAACAATTTGATTTTAGTATAAATTATTTAGCCTTGAAGATGAACTTTAAAAAACAAATAATCCGAAAAAAAACAATGTTTCAATGACATTTGGAAAAGGTTGAAGATCATGCGTACGCACATTCCACCTACACATGTATAGATAAGGTGAAAATATGCATTATCTTAAATTTTTTGTGTGTAATATAATCATGATGAATAAGAGATCAAGTGATATATCATATGACAAGATTCTCTTGTCAGTCAATAATAAGGGAACATTTTTCCAACACTTTTTGTTTCTAATCCATTGTAAATAGTCGAACAGTAAAGAAAAATAAAATCTTGATGATATATACTCTCATGATACGTTAATGAATTTGAAATGAAATAATATTAGGTATCATTCATTAATATTACATTGGTTACTCGTTTTAATCTTTTTTTTTCCTTTTCTTTCTGCTGACAAATATTTTTGATTGATGGTGAATTGCGACCTCTATAATGTATAGAATCACTTAGGACTGGTAAAACATTCTCTCCAATGAGTTATATTTTTGTAAAACAGCTGATTGAATGACTATTGCTAATAGACGTAGTTTATCGAGGCAAAGAAAAAGGCGCAATACTTTTTATGTCTATATATTAATAGATATTCCTCTCAACGGTAAGAAACGATGCTTATCAACATAGTTTCATATATAACGTTTTGATACGATTGTATTTCCATTTCTTATCAATGTAGAATCATAAAAAAAAAGAAACACAGTTTTTATTTGGATACGATTGAAGATGCACCTTGAAAGAACAAAAACAAAACAAGACACACCAATGGATATTCAAGATCTTACATGTCCCATTTGCATGTGTAAGACATAGTATTATTGTTATATTATTATATAAATATAATATTAGGTATTGCTGAGGATCCGCAAATAACGTCATGTTGTAATCGAGTATTTTGTGTAAAAGATGCTGATCTAATTCAATATACCAATGGTTGTCCATTATGTCGTAAAAAACATTTTTCATTTAAATCATCTTCTAAACATAAAGAAATGCTCGAACAATTAACTATTAAATGTGTTTGCTCTGAACGTATAGCACCCGATGACTATGAGAGACATCTAGAACGATGTTCGAATGTAACATTTCCTTGTCCACATAATACATGTCGAGAAAAAGTACGTTATTATTTATATTTCATATCATAAAAGTAAAATATCTATTTTTCAAATAGAATGATTTAGCAAAATATAATTCTCAACAACTTGTTAGTCATCTTGCTCGATGTCATTGTAATGAAGTTTCTTTACTTGGTTCAACATTTATAAATAAAAAATCTGTTGAAACTTATAAAAAAGCATCTATTAAATATAATGATCTTGTTTCAACACTTTATTCAGTACTTTATCCAAAAATGATTGATATACAATTAAAAAATTGTTCATCAACTCTACGAAATTCATCAATATTTAAATGTCCACATGGACATAAATTAATTGAAGCTGATCATACAAAACGTAAACGTAAAAATGGTACAGTTTATTCATCAGCCAGTTATAATTGTGATATATGTCATCATTCATTTCCAAATGGTCAATCATGGCATTGTTCATGTACAGATACGGGTTTTGATAAATGTGTTGGTTGTCTTGTTTTTCAATTATATAGTATTGATAATAATATATTAAAATTAGCAAGTGAAGATAAAGAAAAACAACAAGAACATTATAGACGAGGTAGTATTCGTAATATTGTACATTTGCCACGTGGTATATTTCGTTTATTAACTGGACATATGGGTGAAAATGAAGACGATGATGATTCTAGTCTTTTAGCACTAAGACATCAACCACCATTTTTAATTGAACAAAATACATTGGAAAGAAGAGATAATGATACAAATGGAGGTAATCATCGGGAAGATTAAAACATTAGTTTGAAGAAATAAATAAGAAGATTTAAACTTTATATTTTTGTTTCTATTAATAATATAGCAGTGAGTTTTTTTTCTTTTTATTTTGTTTATTCTTATATAATAATGTGTAGATTGTTTGTTTGATGTACGTTTTCATAGATAGAAATATAATAATAAATTCAAAGAATTTATCTTTATAAATTGTACATATTTCGATCGATTTTTTTATATATTCAATAAATAACCATGCTGAAACATATAAAAAAATTTTAAACTTCAGATGAAGATGATTGTAAACTTTGTTATTGTAAGTTTTAAATTGTAGTCATCTTGATAAAACAACAGCAGTAGATTTACATTATAGGATGTTTTCTCATTCATTTAATACCTTATATAATGTACTACTGTTTTTAAATTTAATTTCTATGACAATTAATTCAATTCTTAATCAATCGATGTGAATTGATACTCGTAGCGAAAAGAGAAATCATCTTAAAATGGAATATTCTTGTTTTGATTAAATTATATTAAAGAATAAGAAACAAGGCGAATGAACTTTTTGATCGTTATATAACTCCTTACGTTGATAAGCTTCATATTTCTGTACTCGATGTTTAAAAAGATCAATGACGAAATAAATCACTATTACTCATAGATTTTGGATTACTTTTTTCCACTCTTTTTTCTTTCTTATTTTAAATAATATTTATATCATATTCTAACTTATCTGTATCTTAAACTAAAACTTTTATATAAATGAAGTTGCACGAACTACAATGAAAGAAGCATTACTAATCGTCTGATATTACCATTAATCTAGTGAATATAACAAATTTATATTCCCTTAGTTTCAAGGTTATAAATGTTTTTGATGAATAATATTTTGCTTCATGTTCCCAATATATTAAGATTCCTCCTTTCGACTACGATTTTCATGATTTGACTAGTTTATGCATGAAATAATATTACATACATAATTACAATCTAAATCAGATTTACGCTAATTGATAAGTACAATAAAATGCAATATATCGTTTTGAAAATCGAAGAAAAGTATGTTTGTTTCTCCATCTTTTATTGTATAAAAGTTACTCAGGGCTTAAAAAATATGATTAACTTCTAACTCATCTTTTTCATATCTTCTAGTACTGATTGAACAGCATAGAATCATTTGTTAACCATAATTTAACAGACGATTTTAACAAAAAATAAATGCCATGGGAAAACATGGAGTATTGATTCAATTCATTTGTGTACGACAATGAATACAGATAATTTTTCTCAGGCTTATCAATGTTACTGACAGACAAGAGCTGATCGAAACAGACAAATAGCATATGTGTACTTTTGTATATAGAATGGTATTTTGATAGGAAAACGATTAAGACAAGAAAAAAGAATTAATTAATCACAGTACGAGATTTTCTTATTGAAAAAAAAGACATCAGATGACTTGATGGTATTCTCCACTGGGGACTGTGGTGAGCTCAGGGTACCTTGCTACCAGTATGTCACAGAAACATTTGAAGACTTCGGTACTTTAGGGTACTTTATAGGCTTTTAACCCTTGACTACAAAACTCTTTCAAATGTTCAATCTACTAACTTCTTGAAAACTTTTTCATAGAATGCTATAGAAACAGGACAGATGCTTGATAAGTACTCTGTGTACTGGAACGATTTTCAGCAAGATACCCAAAAAAGTAATGCTCATCGTTAGCACTTGCTTGACCTTTGACGGAATATTTAATGCTTTTTGTATAACTTACTGTTTTACACTAAGGAAATGGTGTACTTGAAGTAGGAAAGTACGTCAAGAACATGTCAACGGAAGTGGTTATTTCGCCGCGCTATGTTTGCAATAATGCGAAATCAATGATAGCTATGCAATATTTCATTTTAATAAGCACAATTTGTTTGTCCAAAACCGCAAATACATTTGATTCTAGACCATGAGGTTCTATACGTAGTAAAGCAAATAGAGCGTGACCGAATAGCGTTTTACGTGGAAAGGCTCTCAAAGTACAAAAGTAACTGGAAGTTACTTGAAGTTGAACAAAGTATGTAGAAGTGATTCCAAGTAAGGACGAACCAATACTTCCACCTTCGTTGAATATTTAGAAGATGCACTTCATTCACATCGACGACTGATAAGAAATTATTATTTCATATATGATCGTCCAACGTGAGCACATACAGCTATAGCTCATTAGATATTTGTTGAAAGACAAAAGTGTATAGTGTGATAGAGAATTCGATGAGCTACAAGAATATCTAGTTCTATTTGGAACAACTAATACATAGAGAGATGACAATGTGAATGTAAACTTCGAAAAAACAACGAGAAGAAAAATACTCATTTTCAAATTTTATCAATCGGAGAAATTTTCATTCTTCTGACATTATATTGCGAAGAAAAACGATTAACAATAAAGAAATATCTGTCTTGTAGAGAATTTTCAGGACTATCAGAATATCTACTTACTTTTTCAAAAAACTCATTATCTGACCAGAGATCCATCCAAAATACTAAATCTGAAGACCATGAGAAAATCGACTGTTTGGGAATCTGACCATGATAGTGCTTTCATTCCACTCGATTAATTTTTCATCAGATAAAAGTCGGATATGATCAAAAGGCATATTTTGATAGACAACTCCAAGGGCTATCAAATGGCATAATTGCTTTTCCAAATAAGTTCTTTTCTAATGTTAAAAGAGGTCAAATACCAACTGCAGCTTTCGCTTTCTAGAGGTATATATCATTCAATTTTATTAGTCTTTCTCATCATGTAGTTGTTTTTATATAAACCCCTTTCGAAAACTTTTATCTTATTCAAACAATAAAAAACACATTTTTAGAAAGATCATCACAAACTGAGCTACCAGCATGAATTATCTTGGAGGATATGATCAAACCTTCAGCTAAAATTTTCAACAATAGATTTCTCAGCAAGAATCTTTCATTCTTTTTATTTTGCACGAAATGATCCATTTTTTCTTGATTTTTGTTCTTTCGTCTTATTCGTTCTAATTCATAAGCATATGTTGAACTGAATGCATATGAATCACAACGTACAAAACGAAGGAAAGGACGTAATAAATAGATCGTTCAGCAAAAAGTGAAAAAAGCAAATAGTATTTCTAAGAAATCTATTTTTAAAAATTTTTGTTCAGGACATGACCATACCTCTTTCAAACGATTTATACTCCTTGCTCAGTGTTTCACGCTGTTTCTAACCTTGTAATTTTATTATATCTGCATCAGATAAAAGTTTCTAAGGATTTCATATGATTAAATCAGATCAAGGTAGAAAATTTTGACATATTTGAATTGATAGAAAAAAAAATGGTTTTTACCCATTCCAACAGAAGATTTGTTTAATTTTTTTTTATCAACATTGATTCCTATTATTAAGTTTTATTTTCTGAGAGATATATTTCTATTGTTTACGTGTTCCAAAAACAAATGAATCCTAAAGTGAACTATGAAGCTTACTTCTTTTATATAAGATATCTATTTTCTCGCCTTCTTTCTTTCACAGTTCTTCGTATCACATATATCCATATTCCTTTTTAAAATGAATACAAAAAGTATCGCATCATTGCAAGCAAGGATATGAATGTAAAAACGTTCGCATCTGATATTTCGTTATTGGCCGTTGCTGTGTAACGAAGCATGACGGAGAGAGATATTTCTCTCTTGTAACCCATTTTGTCTCGTTGATGGGGATCACTCTCTATGCTGCTTCTATGCGATGGTGTTGAAGAACAGAGAAAAGAAAAAATAGAAAAAGAAAATAGTTTGATGAAAGAAATCATCCATTTATCTAATTGTCAGCTTCTTTATTTGGACGTATTGAAGCATTCTACCATAGCGCTTTTTGATGAGACTCATCGATATTTAGATAGTCAATTTAAATGACTTTTGATTTGATTCATTCGTATTTTCAAGGTAGGATATGTTTACATAAAAAAAAGGTATTTTCTGATCTATTGTCAATTAGTAGAGCAAATACAATAATACTTCGCTTGTCAGGAATTTCATGACTTAGTAGGTATAATGTTTTTCACTTGTTTCTTTAAATAATTTATCAATCAACTTTGACAAATTTAAAAAAACATAGTAATGTGATGTTTCACTGTTTGAAAAACAACTTCTTGAAAGAAAAAATTCTTTTATTATTACTTTCACACAGATTACAATTTAGGCATTTTTGATACTCCATCTCTTCTTTTTTTTATAACTTTTTAATATTGATAGAAGAATAAAATACTCATCCAGTACTATATTTTATCATCCGCTCCCCCCTCTCCAATCCTCTTTCTATAGAGATGTTAAACAAAAGAAGAAAAGAAACAATGGTCTATCAAAAATGCCTAATGGGAAAGTATGTGAATGTGAAAATTGTAATAATATTGTTTGGCTGAAGAAGTTCGTTTTCAAAGAACAAAATATGGCATTTTTATCATCATTTTCATAAATAATTCTGAAAATTATATAAAAATTAGTTAAAAAATGCATAGGATGAATTTTGTCTCCTAAGAATTGATATTTTGATGATTTCAACTATTGCGACATTGAAATAATTTTATAACAAAGTTTTTTTAGATAAAAACTTCATCAACTTATCATGGTAATGTTTCAAACCTGATGCATGATATGCCCTTTACTTCTCATAAAAAAGGGATGAATATTGACATTGAAAAATATTGTATTGTGATGACCTACTTCTTATTAAAATCAGCAATAAAAAAAAATATGCATAAGAATGCAATGCATCTGATGAGAAATAAGTAGGGTTAGCAATCATGATTTTTTTCTTCGAAGAGAGCCTTCATGAAGAACAAAGGTGAAGTAAAAACTGTGAAAACAATCGAGCAATCACGATTAGATTTTTAAGTTGTTGTTAAGTTCGGGTTACTTTGCAGAATACAGTCTAAAATATTCTCTGAAAAGTATGCTCTCAAATATATCATCGATTTTTGGTCCTCGTAAAAAATGTCCTTGAGAAATAGTTCCTCGTTAGAAAATGTACCTCAAGCTAAATTTTTATACTTTACGTATTATGTTACTAGAACGTAGAAAAAAGCGCAATTCAAAAAACTTAGACAGATATTTTTTTAATTTTTATTTAGACGATTTCGTATACAAAAAATATTCAATAAGAACGAAAGATAATTGTATTAATATAAGATTATTTATCTTAACAGCATATTTTATAAGTAATTACAACAACAAACTTTTAACCTAATGGAATTGAACGACGTAATTATAATGGATAAGACAACATCTTCATCCTATTCTCAATCATTCAAACTTTTATTGTCACTGTTGAGTCCAGCTGAACTGATCATTATAAAAACAAAATCAAATAAAGAAAACTTAATATTTGTTATTAATGGTTATAATTTTCAATTGAAAAATTTTAATAAAAACAGAACTAATAAATTCTGGCGATATACTAGCGAAAGTGTTACATAGGTCCACGAAAAATTAAAACTATCCTGATCTAACTTTCCTATACAATTATTAGCAATCTTTAGTGCCTTTACTCCGTTTAGTCCCTTTACTTCTTTTAGTCTCTTTACTCCTTTTATCCCCTTTAGTGCTTTTAGCGCATGAATTACTTTAAAAGACTAAAGGCTCTACAGGAAGTAAACGAAATAAAGGCTTTTTATAGCTGTATATGAAAGTTAGATCTAGATAACTTTAATTTCTTATAGACCCCTTATTTCATCGTTATTTTTTGCTCTCATACAAGAGCTCAGTGATTCTGAACATAAAGAATTAGTTGATTTATTCGAATATTTTAATTATGATTGAATTTGTTAAATATCAATGTGAAATGTTTTTCACATTCCTGAAAAAACCGACAATTTTCAGGAAGGTATGCAAAGGCAATATGTTATTTATATGCTGTAATTAAGACTGTTGCATCTGTTTAGGATACAATCATAGATTTCGAAAATGTGTACATACAAGTCATCACAATAGATGGTTGTTCTTCCACTCAATTCGAAATGAATTGAACATTGTCAATGATTTAATTTTTCACATAAATATGCAACAATTAAACTATGGTGCAAGAGTCATTACGTGAACTTTTTTTATTTTATTGTGAATGAAAAATAAAATAAAATTCAGTTCCTTGTAATAAATTATACTATATGATTAATATTATCATCAGCTGTGATTTGCATTTTCCAAAAACGATATATTGATGATTAAAGACATTTTTTCACAGGTCTATCTTTCCAGAACATTTTATAAAAGATATTTTCTTTCAAGGAGATTTTTGTTTAACGCTGTTTTAGTCTATTACTCTCTTGCATGAAGATGTAGAGGTTGAAATATTAATAAGTGATAAATCAATGTTAATCATTCTTTCATTACAAGGAACGAAGAAAAGAATTGTCTCCATGATAGGCCGCATATTCTATTAATGCTTTGATTATCTCTCTATCCATGTCGGTTGAGATATTCAAATCATTTTCGATAAGTTTTGTGAAAAATAACAACAATAATTTTTATGAAAGAATTGCACTATTTCATCAAACTTTGATGCCCTATTATGTAACCTATGAGATTTATTTTACTTGAAGTAAATGGTGGTATAAAATTCGATATCTGCATGGTTCATCTATAGATTGAAATTAAGACATGTTAACAAAAAGTATTCTTGAACTTATTTCATTATTAATCAAAATTACAAGATAAATTTAAATTGTTGATAAGTTTAAATGCTTTGGATTCTAATCTTTCACAACATGGAATTCATAATCGTATAGAAATGTTGTAAAATAGTATTTGTTGTTTTGACAACTTGATTTTCTATGTGCCTCGCATAATGGATCACGAAACGCAAAAATGAAAAGTCAAAAAAATAACGTCTGTGAACGACTTGAATTTTTGTCTAATAAAGAAGAAAATGATACCTATAATGAATAGGACTAGTGTGGTGTTAGCTGAAACAAGTTAAATCTATTGTCCATTTCAAAATATAATGTCTTTTACTTTTTTTGAATAATTCGAGAACGCAAGCATCTAGAGACTTGTGATTTTCACCACTCGAAAGAGGAGATCGTGGGCGTCTTTTTCTCCAATAATGTATGAGAGGGAATCCTTTTAAAACTAATTATTTTCGAGAAACATGTAAAAGAAGGCATAAAAATGACTTTCTATCTAGATAAAATTTTGATTTTGACCTTTGATTTAGATAGAGGGACATCAAATCTATAGTTCAAGATACAATCCAAATTGGTTCTCTTATTACATTCTAATGTTGAGCAAATTGAATCATGTATTTACATGCGCAAATAATAGGGATTTTCGCTCATTTTTTACTAAGTTCTCTCACTTTTTATCATCATAGCTTGATATTTCGATGGAAATGTAATTCCCTACACACACATAGACCTGACTGACATAACCACGAGATCAAAGTTCATTGTGGAATTAGTAGGATAGTTGTCCTTTACTGTCATACTCATTGCAGTATATTATGATTAATATCTTCCCAACATCGACATGCATTGACAGAATGGGTACGAATTCATAAACAGAAATAGATCTTGATTAATTCCCTCTTTTACAATACCAGCGGCTCCATCGTGTTTTACATTTTACTTCCCCAGGATTGCGTTAATAGCTTTTTTTCTGATTAAAAGATTTTCAAATGAATGCCAACGTTCTTCATGATTATTTCATATATTACTTTTAAATAATCATAAGTAAAAAAAAATACAATAATATTTCTAGTTAAATAATGCTGAATTACCCGAAAAATTAATTTAAAATGTAATTGGAACACATATTATTCGCTTGTCTGAAAGTTGATAATGCGCATAAATAAAAACAGGATATCTCGAATAGAATTTGTTTTACATTATTTTTGACATCATCCTAATAAAATTTAGACAAATGAAAATAAAATGAACTTTTTTAAAAATAGACTCACCTCCATAATTGACCATAAAGATTTATCTTTATCTACAAGTATGTCATTACCTACGCTATTAGATCCAGTAGAGAGTTTAGTAAAAAGTGAATTGCAAATGTTTCTGATTTTTTCTAATTAATATTGATATTCATCTTTTTCACCATACTAAAAAAAAATGAATAAAAGAAAAAAAAACCCGTAATATTTTAAATAAATTTAAGTACTGGTATCATAATACCGGCAGGTGCTTCAATGTCCTTTAGAATTAGAAAGAGAACTTTAGACAAGAAGAAAGTTTTTGTTTAGTTTTCTTACGAATGAAAAGAAGTAACATCAAGTAAAAGAACTTCTTCAATATTTGTCGATCTATCATCTGTTGATAGAGCAGCTTGAATAGCTGCGCCATAGGCAACAGCATTATCTGGATTAATTGATTTATTAAGTTCTTTTCCATGAAAGAAATCTTATAATAGTTTTTATACTTGTGGCATATGTATTGAACCACCAACAAGAACAATTTCATGGATTTCTAATCTATTCATTTTAGCCTCACGTAATGCTTTTTCAACGGATTCTAATGTTGCATGGAATAAATCAGAACAAAGTTCTTCAAAACAAGTACGAGTTATCCTCGAATAGAAATCAATACCATCGGATAAAGATTCAATTTCAATCGAAGCTTGCAAAGATGATGATAAAGTACGCTAGAAAAAAATATTTCTTTTCATAGTAAACAAAAAAAACAACATAAGTATTCTACTTTAGCAGACTCGCAAGCCGTACGTAATCTTCGAAGAGCACGTTTATCAACAGATAAATCTTTGTTATGTTTTCTTTTAAATTCTTGAACAAAACATGTGATCATTCGGTTGTCAAAATGTTCACCACCCAAATGTGCATCACCTAACATGCACAACAACACTTAAGAAAAATCCTTTAAAATTTCATTAAAATCTTCCTACCAGCTGTTGATTTAATTTCATACATTCCATTTTCTATTATTAAAACAGATACATTACAAGTGCCACCACCCAAATCAAAAATTAACACATTTTGTTCTTTTGAAACTTTGTTATGAAAACTATAAGCCATGCCAGCTAGTGTTGATCCATTAATGATACGTAGAACGTTAAGGCCAGCAATAACACCAGCATTGTTTATTGCTTGTCGTTATAAATAATTAAAATAAGCTGGTACACCCATAACAACTTCAGAAACTTTTTTCCCAACGTAAGCTTGAGCTATTTCTTTCATTTTTAATAAAATCATTGATAGAATTTCTTCAGGTGTGAATAATTTTGTTTCTTTTTTATATTCAACTTGAATATTTGATCTTCCATTGTTATTCACTACTTTAAATGGATAATAATTTATATCAGATTGAATTATTGAATCATCAAATTTACGTCCAATAAGACGTTCTACGTTAAAAATTGTATTGTATGGATTTGAATTGACTTGATTTTTTGCTGCATCTTAACTTTTCCTTCATAGAAAACACCTATACACTATTTAACAAAAACAAAACGAAGATAATCTTTGATTATTCTTTTTTATTCATTGTCTGTTCACTTGCCGAACAGATTGTACCCAAGTCAATACTAATTCCTGGACATTTGGCATTTTTTTGAAAATTTTTTTCTTTAGAAAAAAGCCTAAGAAGTTCTTGCTAGAAAATGAGTGAAATAAAAACTCAGACTGTTTGCTTGTATATATATTGTTATTTAAAGTATTATCAACAATCGTATGTCATGTTGAACGAAAGAATACGAAATCAAAAAAATAACATATAATATTTTATATGATAATATGCTACAATATCAATATGAAAAAGAAAACGAAAGTGACAAAGATGTATCAATGTCTACATAGGATGTTACTGATTGTAAAAAGTAACTGATTGATTAATAAGGTCAAAGGAGATTATCATATAGTCATACACATGATGATTAGCTGGAATAAAATACAAAATTTTAATGCTAAATAACGTAGTTTTGATCAAATTAACGAAATAATTTTGTTAGATCTTGACTAGCTTCCTTAATAGTTGGATATTTAAATGTATAACCAGTTTGTAATGTAGCCTGAGGAATCACTTTTTGACCTTGTGTTGCTACAATGGCTCGTTCGGGACCAAGAAGAGTATTGAGAAGAAAAGCAGGCATTGGAAAAATAGCTGGACGTGGTGGACTAAATGCATGAGCAAATGTTTGAGAAAATTCTCGATTTGTTATTAATTCTGGTGCACACGCATTTAAAATGCCATTAACATGATTATTTTGTATAGCATATATTATTAATAAACAGACATCATCTAGATGAACCCATGGAAATGGTTGTTGACCATTACCAATTGGACCTGAAGAAATTTTTAAATAAAAATTGAACCTAAGAATTTTGTTTTTACCTCCAACACCCAAGAAAAATGGCCAATACATTGATCCAATCATACCACCAGATGAACCAAGTACGCCTCCTATATTCAACAAATTATAAATCAAAACTTCTATGTAATAAATTGAATTAATATACCCGAACGAAGAATAACTCTTCTAACATTAAACTTTGTTTCAATAGGTTCTGATGCTTGTTCCCAATCTCTTGCTAATCGTGATAGAAAATCATAATCACCACCTTCAGATGTTTCAGTATATTCTTTAACTGGATCTGGTTTATAATAACCTTTGGAAAACATTTGTTAAAAATGAAATAAAAATTTTTTTTTTAAATAAAACTTACTGACACCAGACATTGATACATATACTTCTGGTTTTTCATCTTTTAAATCTCTAACAAAATCCACAAATGTCTTTGTTGTACCTATTCGACTTTGAACAACCTCATTTTTATATGCATCAGTCCAACGTTGAAAACTAAGTAAAGGTGCACCAGCTAAATTTACAATTGCTTTTATTGGTTTTACTGAAGACAATGTAGTTCCACTACGAATATCATCCTATGGATTAATTTAAATATAAATCAATTTTTGAATAATACTAAATGTCACGAAATGAATAGATGTCTTAGTATTTGCTAAAGTTAGAATCGAGGTATTAAAAACAAAAAGAACGATTCTATTCCAAATTAGGGACATTGATTTTAATCTATCTCCTAGATTAACTTTAATACGACTACATTTGAGGCTACTATTTGTTGTTCATCTCAAGTTCGCACTGAATTCAATCAATAAAGTAAATATAACACAGGATGTTGTTATTATAGTTTATCATGGACATGTGAGAACTCTAGAAAAGATTCGATTATCAGAAGAACAAACAAAAAAAGTTTGTTTTTCATGATTTTATCATTCTCTATTTTCGAAGCGACTGATACTATAGATGGAACCGGTACTGACAACCGAGGTACACATTTAATCATAACTTGAAGTGGTAATAGCGGTTCGGTGGTGGTGCCGATTTTAAGCCAGTCGGTCTATCAGTCCGATATTGGCCCACTGGTAGATCGGTCCGGTTCAGTCTAACTTGTCCAGACCGGTACCGGTAGTCAAAAAACTAGACCATTTCCATCTATGATTGATACCATGCATCATTATTCAGTGCTCAATTATAGTTTGAGCTGTTCTCTCATAATAAGAACAAATATGTATGATTGATTGATGTTATCAGTGCAGTATGATGAAACTGGTTAGCGTCCGCATGGATCCCAAATAGTCGTGTCAAAGTTAATTCGAAATACATCTAAATATCTCTCAACCAGAAGTGTCCACGAGAAAAAGTCAAAAAATGTGCTTATTCTTTCCTTATATTAGGACAAGACAAGGAAGAATAGCAAACAAAGTATGTCAAGAGGAACTATTCATGCAATATCTTTCTTTTCTTTCGAAAAATACAAAACAAATAGAATAATAAATTAGATGATGTTATTAGAGAGCTTCTCTACATGTGCAGTTAGATTTCTATTCTCTAGAGTACGAATTCTAAAAATATACAAAAGAAACAAAAAGTGTCATAGAATGATATGAAATTAATGAAAAACATGTTTGATCTTAATCTTAGAAAAGCATTCATTCTCACTCATAACTATCATCTGAAGGGGCTTCTTCTCAAAAATAAACTTTTTTATTTTTCATCTAATTTCAACCTAAATTTCATAGAATGTTAGTCTTGACTAGAATAGATTATGGGTAAAATATGTCCCTCTAATATTCAACATACTCACGAATTATTGTCAATTCATTGATCAAAAATACCTTTCACACAGGAAATAGAGCTCGATTTTTTCATTTGTCTTTGTTTATTTTTTCGAACAATTCTCAAATTCGTGATGAAAATATCGCTAATTAAAACCAAATATCTAAGTATTTTATTTTATCAAAAGAGAAATTCTAAAATCATGCTCTATTACGACCTAGCCCTAACTGTCTGCTGTGTAATAGAAACAATTACCGCTTTTAATATTGAATCGTTATTAAGAAAAGTTTGCGCGCGTAAATAGTATACTCGAAAAAATGATTTTAAGGAAAACAATGTTTTTGAATTAGTAAATATCTCTATTCTAAATAAGTCTGCTTATATTACCTAATATTTTTTGCATTCTACTCCTCAAGCTTTATTAGATGGTGTTTATATCATATTGCTCTTAAAAGTAATATCATACCAAAGTAGTGATCATGATACCTTATACGTAAATGTGGGTGAAAGCGAGTCCTCTATTCTACGTGCGCCCTACACCTGCATCTTGTAGTAAAATTTGGTGCTCAAATGTTGCTCTTATCCCGCTGGTTTTATATCATTATCAAACGTCATAATTTATCATTTTTTATAACAAAAAAAAAAGAACCTTTTCATGCAAGAGTATCTCTTGAAAATAATATCAAGTTTATAATTAACGATCTATTCATTTTATAGCACTCATTATAAATACCCATGTCAAAGTATTTCCTTGTCCATCCGATTTTCTTGATACAATCCAAATATTTTGAAAACCTTTTTCTCTTAATAATTGTACCAAACGTTGTCCAATAAAACCTTTTCCTCCTCCTAAATAAAATAATAAAAAAAATCAGCAAGAAAATATCTTCATTCTTTCTCACCAATAATGACACTCATCTAAAATAATAATTTTAACTCATTTGTTTTTTATTTCTATGAATAAAATCAAAGTAATTTTATTTTATTATTATATTCACTCTCTTTCTCTCTTTAAAATTGTGTATGAAAAACAGAAGAAAATCATTTTTTTTGGAAAATTCTTATATAAATGGAATGGATACTTGATGTAAATTTAAACATTTGTTTTTTCTTAAAAAAAAGAATCCTACGAACAAAACAATTCAATGTTAAGAATGAATGACAAGGAAACATGCACAATCAAAGAATATAATAAATATATGTATATATATATGTGTATGTAGAGACAGAAATAAACAACAAAAAAAAAAAATTTAATTATAACACTGTTCAGGAAATGTATTTAACTCAGCTTCATCACCCATTGATGAATTATTAAATAAATAATTAAGTTTAATTCTCATACGAAGTTTATCTTTATTTGGATTTAAAATTTTTATTATTTGATGAATTTCTCCAGAATTATTTGCTGGTATTATTGTACTATTTGGTGGATATAATTCAATAGTAAATGTCTAAAAATGAATATAGATTTTTTTTATTTAATTAAAATATTAAAATTATTTTACTTTTGGTACAGCTGCTTTAAATATAAAATTTGTTATTGGATATTGTGTAGCATTTGTTGCTTTAGAATGAATTGTTAATAGTGTATCTTCTCGTTCAAATGTAAATACAATACGTAAACCATTTTTATCTAATGCTACCATTGGTGGAATAACTAATATAAATAAATAAATAAAAAATAATAATTCTAAATAAAAAAAAAATATTTTTGAAAAATATCTACTATTATTATTCAAATGATTATGTGATGTATCATCACCAAAAAGTAAATCTGTAAGTGGATTTGATGATAAAGGGTTTTGTTGTTGTTCATGAGGATGAATAGATCCATTCGTTTGAATAGGTTCATCAAGAAGTTTTAATAAATCAACCTAACAAAAAAAAAAATAAATAAACGACTTCAATATTAGTGATATAGAAAAAGAAGAATTTATTTACCACAGGTTCATTCGGCGGAACATGATTTATTTGTGCATCATTTGATGGATTTTCTTCTTGATATATTTGTTCTTGTTGTTCATTAGCATTTGGATTTGATGATGAATTACTGATAAGAACTGGCATACGTTCAACAATACTTGGTCTTAAAATGAAAAAAAAACGATGAATTTTTTTTTACTAACAGATGATCGGGAAGTTTTTAGACAAGATGTTTATTCATTTTTGACTCACTACAAAGTATTTCCAACGAGTCAAAAGCTATAAGCTGGATACTCTTTTCGAATATGGACTTACGAGAAAACCTCCTGAACTTGTCCCATTTCAATTTCAACAGATTTTTGTCTATAGATACTACCAAAGATGGAGCCGGTACGGACTTCAGACCAACAGGTCTATTGGTCTAATTTTTCTACTTTCCTCTTTTTCTAATCGAGACTCGTGCAATATTCTTATAGGTCCTAATTGATGTCATACACTAAATATATAATGAAATTTCGTTAAAATTTCATGAAGGTAAATTATATAAAAAAAATAAATTTGAATACGTTTCGCATAAACAATTCTATAATTTTTTGTGTTTTACATATTGTATCATAGCTAGAAGTGATAACAGTGGTTCGATACTGGTGTAAATTTTTAAGCCGGCCGGTCTGATTTTTTTCAGATCGGTATCAGTACCAGTCGTCAAAAACTTAGACCAGTTTCATCCCTCGATATTACATAATATTCTAATCAAAATTCGATAAGGCTTTTGATTCCTATTGATATTTAATTAAGTGATCACATCAGAGAACTCGTATTTTCGAAGTTCAATCTAAAACATCAGACAGTTCTACAAAATAGACGTATTAAAAATTCAATAAAAATTATTGAAATCGGGAGAAGACAACTGACGAGGTTTCCTCGTTAGAAATTTTGTCTTAGTTTTTGTTCAAGTATAGTGAGAGACTCTTTGACAAATCTAGAAAATTATAAGTAATGATAGTTCAACTGGTTTTTGTTTACTTTATAAGTCATTTTTGAAAATTGTCGACGTCAATAGTTTTGTAGAAAGGGTAATTCTCCACAAAATGTAATATTGAACTAAGCTATAGCTTTACCTAAAAGAGACTACAAGCATTTTTTCAAGAGCTTCTTTCAAAGTAAAACAGTTGTAGATTTTTTCAAAAATGGGGTATTCAGGAAAAAGGAAAATTGAAATAGATTCCAAATTTTAGTTTCTAATTACAATAATGAAAATACAACAATTTTCCGTCTCTGGCTTTATCTATAGTGGCGCTCAAAATTGATCGTACTGCCGAGCACAGTTTTCGGTTGTGTTTGAGGATGAAAGAAGTTCAAAATTTGACAGAATGTCCTTAAAATGGATTGTATACTTCACTAAAAATTCATGTTAAGAAAACATATTGCAAAAATATTTTTTATTGCAAAAACGAGAAAAAATTCGTTTTGTTCTTGAAATTATAAGATGAGTCGTTCTTTATTCTGACGTATACATTAGTTTTTTCTTTTTGATGAAGTATACAATCAATTTTGAGCGTCATTGTATATTTTCTTGTTTTAATTTTTCAAATACCTGATTAAATTATGTTTAGTAAAAAGTGATGTATATTCAACAGCACGTGTTTGTAATTCTAAATTCATATTACATGCATAATATGTCATTATAGATTGTATTCGACTATAAAAAAAAAAGAAAATAATATTCTATATAATTAATTATAATAAAAATAATTTTACTCTGAACAATTTGGAAAACGTGTACTTAATTTCATTAATGCATTTATAGCATATTCACGTGTAACAACTGTACTTATTGACCAATTTAATACTCGTTCTAATATATCAGTTATTTCATTTTCTGTAACCTATTTAGTAAATACTTAAATTTAAATTCATACAAAATCTATTTAGTTTACTTGAATATGTTCTTCACCATGTGGTTGTTCATATTGTCCATTAACAAATAAATCACCAAATTCACCTTGAAATAAATAAATAAATATATATATATTTAGAAATAAGAATTATTGTTTTTAATTACCTAATGTCCATGATCCTACTTGAACAAGTGGTTGTTGTGTAATATCATTTCGAATTATTTTATATAATTGACGTGCTGTATAACCATGAAGATCAGATGATGATGATATAATACCAATTAAACTTGATACAATATCATCACGAACAGAATTTCCAGCCTTAAAAAAAAAACATTAATTCAATTATGTTATCAAGAGAATTTCTTTGACAAGAGTGAATAACATACAGTAGTAAGAACTTTAATCATTTGATCAACATGCCATCGTTTTGATGGTGCAAAACTATTAAAAAGAAAAATCTTAAATAATCCCATTCTTTGAAGACATAAGGATCACAACGATTGAATTTCGTTTCAAGATAAATTTATTATTCTTATGTCATTATATGTAATACAATATGAAATTCTATCAGTGACATATCTAGACATGTACTCAACTCGCTCGATCTATTTCCTGAATTTTATCTTCTCATAAGTATTGTATTATTATACTTCAATAGTTCTGTGTTAATTCTATCGAAATAATCATAAAAGACATTTGCCTATGAAACATAAGGGAAGCCGATTCATAAGAGATTTCCTTGAGAGAAGAAAATCAAGACTAATCCGAGCAATACAACCTCATTCAATGTCTATGATAGAAGCAAAATTGGAATTTCACTATTTTTGATTCAATGATGTCTTTTTTATTTTTATTTTCGTAAATACTTTAGTCTATTCACTCATATGTGTACAAGCACTTCGCTTGAAATGACATTTTATGTGACAAAAAACTTCCATTTTTTTTTTACATGAATATTGATTTGTAGCGTATTTGCATTTACAATTGTATTTGTAACTGATTATTGAACCCTATTCAGACATTTTTTTTTATTAGGTTGTGACGCATACATTTATATTTATACTGCTTATCATAGGCAGTACGTCATCGTAGCGAGGGGAAGCAATTGTTTCCCCTAAAAAAAACAACTGTGGGGTAGCAATAAAAATTTATTGCTTCCCCTAACTACCTCCATTTTATAGATAACTTACGCGTAATTTTACTATTTATATGGATTTGAGCGACACACCAACAAAATGATCTGTACAATTGTTCCTTCTAGAAAAATTTGATTAACCGATAGGATGTTATTGCTTCTTCAAAAAAAAAATTGATGTTGCGCTGCTCATGCTGCTTATTGACACGAGTGCTATGACTAAAAATTTTTTTCTCATTCCACTCTACTTTTAATAAAACATGTGACTGTATGAATGAGTTTCTAATCGAATTCTAATTTTGCCCCAACATCTACGTATATCACTTTATTAATAACATTAAATCTGCTAATGAGGAAACTACTCGAACTGATATCCACCGTTTGAGTTCCTATTAGATTCACAAGAAGATAAGAAAAAACTTAAAAGTGTTCGTGTTTATGATTAGAGTCCATCGAGCTGCTTCGAATTCGGATCCAGAAATTCTTAGACCCGGTGGACTCTATTCATGAGCCGAGTTATGACCGTTTTATTGAAACTTCGTCTATAAATAGGCCGAGTGACTAGTAGAATATCCTGAAAGTTTCAGTTCAACAAAAGATTCCTTTGTCAATATATTGAATGTCCAAAAAATGATCGTGTGCTACAGAAATCAAGTTTACTGGAAAATTGAACATCTCGTTAAAGAAACATTCTTTTCAGCTGATACTTTCAGGATATTGATCTGTTTATATAAGTCCTTTTAGAATTTTTCTAGTCTAGTTATGAATCTAATATGAAGTCAAACGGTGAGTATCAGTACGAATAATTTCCTCGTAAGAAATAATAACTTAAATCTTTCATTGATCATTACCGTTCCATAGCTAAAAACATATTTGATGTACAATCTGCTTTAAATTCTGTTTCACATGTTCCAAGAAATTCTAACATTTCATTTGTCATTGTTCGTATATTA